TTTGGCCATTGGTGATTAAACTCAGGCTCTAGTTCTCCTTTTTGGAGGAGCGTGTGTGTGTGTGTGTGTGTGTGTGTGTGTGTGTGTGTGGTGGTGCGGGAGGGGACAGGGTGTCAGCTGGTATTACAATTCTAGCCTTTAATCATTGGGTGGATTTTTTTCCTGGTGATCAGGTCCCTTTACTGAAGTTAAAGAGGGAACCTCCAAGAGTCCCTAGACTCTTGTATAAATTTAGATAACAGCTAAAAGGGTCTTGTTATGAATAACAAAAGACACTCCTGTCATTCAGGAAATTCCAAGGGTTTTAGGACCTCTGCAAAATTGCTATGTTTTTTATTATACCCCAGGTACTTGTGTAGCAAAACTGCCTTGCGCACAGAGGCCCACAGCTTTGAATCTGAGGGTTTCTAGGAGGTTATTGTTGATCTGTATTTACCTGGAAAGAAGAGTGGGAGCTGAATGTCATTTTAACTACTGGATAGTTGATTTTCTGAAAAGGATTGACAGGCCTGTTCTTTGAGCAAATGGGTATTTTCAACACCTACATCTTACAGCTTTATCTTAATTTGCTAATGGAGTTCATATAGAATTGAAGTCCAGAAGACTTAACTACTTATGATTGCTTTCTTATATGCTTAATAATATTCTTCTAAGTAAATGTTCCAGGAAGTCAGATCTGGTTGTTCTGGTAGTTCAGTTTGTGCTGTTGTGAGTACTTTACCTGTCAGCTGAAATATAGAGCCTTTCAGCTCTGTGGTCTGGGACTACTCGCTAGACCTCTAGGTCATTGTCCTTCAGCCAAGCGCTGCCCTGTTTCTTTAAATTGTGTTGTGCAAGTATTTTTTTTTTCCCCCATCACATCATGGCATAAAAAAGATTTGGAAGCACTGATTGAAAAAATGCAGGTAGTGTAGTTAGTTATACAATAGAGCTAATGTGTTTATTGTATTTAGAGTGTTGGAAAATTAGAATAGGGTGGTGATACGATGTTGTGGGGTTTAATGTTACCTCACTAGAGTTCAAATAAGAGCTCTCTTCCATTCTTTGGAGAATATCTGATATATGCCTCTGATGAAATACACTGATATCATCCCCCTACTCCCAGTCTGTGTTAAAATTGTATTTCATGAAACCGTCCCTGGTGCCAAAAAGGTTGGAGACCACACTGCCTTTATTGCCTCTTGGTATGCGAAACATTTCCTCTTTCTGGCTAGAACTCTGAGCACCCTGTATAGCAATAGGGGTTTGAATGGCAATCCTTTCTTTCATATTAAGGATTGTGAAAGATAATGGTTTAAATAAGCTGGGTACTCAGAATTAACACATAATTTCTCCCTTAAACTAAGGAAAGAGATATATTAGCAGTTATGGCTACTACCTTTTGGGTATCCATTTGGAACCTTCTCAGGGTGGTTGTGTAATTGTGTGATTCCATCTCTCACATTCCTATGAAGTCTGCTTGCAAAATCATTAGATCATTGAAGTTGGAGGTTGGGGATTATATTGGATAAGCTTTTTCTTTTTTGTTGAGGATTAAAATACTGTTAAATTTAACCAATACATATACTTTCACAACTCTAAAGTTAAGTGTAGAATGTGAAAAAATGGTAAAGGCATACAAATGTCCAAGTTTTCTTAGGTATTTGAAAGCGCCTATAATAAGGCCATTCTAAACTTGTTTTCTAGGCCTTCAAAAGATTGAGTTTAGAGAACTAATTGGTCCCTTTTATAAAGTTCTGATATAAGTAGCAAGGAGATTGTAATTAAAATATAAGCAATGTAACAATGTAAAAAAACTGCAACACAGGGGAGGCCGAGCATGATGGCGGATAGGAAAGACGTTTAGTTCAGCTCCTCTGGACCAACAGGTGAGAGCAATTTGGCTGGATCATACCCGGTGTGGAATATTGGCGTGGAGTGGCAGTTGCGGGTGTGCAGTGTGCTGGCGGATTACTGGAGTTGGGAGTATAATACGTGCTGCTCCGTCAGCCTGTCCTGGCCTGGAGGGAGCACAGGCGGCTGAGGCCAGCCCCTTCACGGAGGTCCCAGAAAGAAACCCATTGTGGTTTTCAGATCTTGGGGGTAGCTAGGTGTTGAGTGGAAAGATTGGTGAAGTGTGGACTCCAGAGCAGAATTTGGTGGCGGGAGTGGGGTGCTGTCTGGAGTGGCTCTGCTGTGGTTTGGTGGCAGGCGAGACATACACGTGGGGAAAATACCCGGATAGGAGGTGGGCATTGTCATAAAATCTGGGCCTCTTTCCATGGGTCTAAGGCGCGGAGGTCTAAATTCCACCTGCGGGGACTCAACCTAAGTTTGGGACAGGCTCAAGATATCCCGCACTCCATGGGAACGTTGCAGGGGAATCTGTGAGACCTGCCTCTGAAGATTTTTTGAGATCTGTGGAATCACAGTTAGGCAGGGACTGAGTGCCAAGCGGATGATTGGGTAAACTAGCGATCACCAGGAACAATCAAGCTGGGAAACAGGTATAAGCCTGGGAACCACTCACAGCACCACCTGGTGTCGAGAAAGTATATTCCAACATAAATATATTCTTCGATCCTTAAAGTATATATGTGTATATAAATATATATAATTTACATATGAATACATAAATAATTTTGTTTTTGCTTTTTTTCTTTTATTTTTCTCCTTTTTCTTTTTTGGAGTCGTGGTTAATGTTTTTTCTTTTTCTCTCTCTTCTTTCCTTCCTCTTACGCTTGCTGAGATTGCTTACATCAGGCTATTAGAGCTTTTTAAAATCTTGTTTCAGTGTGTCTTGTTTTTTTTGCTAAGTCCTCTGGTTGGCTCTTTTCCTAACTCCAGTTTTTACATTCAACAAGAGCAAGGGCTCCTGTATTTTTTTTTCTTCTTTTTCTTTTTGTTGATTGTAGAACCTTAGCTTGATCTGTTCTCTCTCCCTGCTTCACTCCTCAACATTTTCTCAGATGATAGAATGTCTCAGAATGTCTTCTACTGTTCTTTCTTTCTTTTTTCTTTTTTTTGAGACAGTCTCAATATGTCACCCTCCGTAGAGTGCTGTGGCTTCACAGCTCACAGCAATCTCAAACTCTTGGTCTTAAGCAATTCTCTTGCCTCAGTCTCCCAAGTAGCTGGGACTACAGGTGCCCAATACAATGTCCAGCTATTTTTTTGTTGCAGTTGTTGTTGTTTTTAGCTGGCTGGTGCTAACTAGCCTGGGTGTATGTGGCCGGCACCCTACCCACTGAGCTATGGGTGCTGCCTCTTCTACTCTTCTAATCTTTCTCACATAATGTGCTTCTGTATCAGCTAAGATACTCCCCACCCCTTCTTTCCCTCCCCTTTTTTTCTTTCTTTGGACTGTTGTCTCTCTCTTTTCTTTCTTAATTCCTTTTCCCTTCCCCTCCTTTATTTGATTCAACGGTATGTTTAATTTCCTTTGTCTATTCTTTTTTTCAATATTTTTTCTCTCCTCATTTTATGTTTTCTATTTTTAATTTTATTTTGTTATTTGATTGTCTCTTCTTGTATCTCCACCCTTTCTTTGCTGAGGGTGAGTGTGACACAGTTGTGGTCTGGTAGGTAGATTGCAGTAGTAATCTGGCTCAAGTAGGCCAGAAGAACTCTATGGATTGGCCCCAGGAAGACCATGCTGCAGTACTTTTCTATTTTTCCATTTTTTTGTCTCTCTCTCTTTTTTTTTTCCTCCTTATCTGCCTTCAAGTTTCCTTTCTTATCTTTTGTGTTTGCTCTTTTTCTTTTCTTCTTTATTTTGGGCAGAGGAAGAGTCTGAATGTGTTCAGGTTGGTAAGGAGTACCTGATTTAGAGGAACTCACCCAGTTCAGCTTCTCAAAACCCTTGAGCAGTAGAGGTGGTGTTAGTGCGGGACTGAACAATAACATTTCTTCTGTCACTCTCATCTTTCCGTCCCATCCTCCTTCTCTCCTGTTCTTCAATTTTCTTCTGTCAGTCCTCCTTCCCCTCCTTTTTCTTTTCTTTTTTTTTTTTTTGCTTCTTTTTCTTTTTCTTTTTCTTTTCTCTTACTCTTCTTTTTTTTCCCCTCCCTTTTTTTGGGCCTTTTTTTCCTTCTCCTTGCTTGTTCCAACCCTCTCCACCTTCTGACCCCATACCAAGAGGTCTTTTCATCACCTAAACTCTGAGACAAGGTAACTTGAAGCCCAAGAAGAAGTAAGAAGGAAAAAGGTACGCAAGGAAGTGAACAAGAAGAAAACACACATGAAGAGAAACCAAAAGAACAATTCAGGCACCATGAAGAACCAAAATAGAGCAACTCCTCCCAGGGACCACAAAACATTTATAACAGGAGACTCCTATAAAAAATTAATAGATCTGGGTGGTGCCTGTGTTTTAGTGAGTAGGGCGCCGGCCCCATATACCGAGGGTGGCAGGTTCAAACCTGGCCCCAGCCAAACTGCAACAAAAAAATAGCTGGGTGTTGTGGCGGGCACCTGTAGTTCCAGCTACTCGGGAGGCTGAGGCAAGAGAATCACTTAAAGGAGTTGGAGGTTGTTGTGAGCTGTGATGACACGGCATTCTCCCCAGGGCAATTAAGTGAGACTCTGTCTCTTAAAAAAAATTAATGGATATGACAGGAAATTGAAAATATGGATGATTAAGATAATAATGGGATTGGATGAGAAAATGGAAAGACAGAACCAAAAGTTGGATGAGAGGTATGTAAAATATAGAAAAGATAGAGATGAGCTTAAAGAAATGAAAGAGACAATCAGGGAATGAAAAGAAGCTATAGAAAGTATCAAAGATAGATTAGACCATGGAGAGGAATATCAGAGTTAAAAGATAAAGTCTTTGAGTTAACACAAGTAGTTACCAAGTCAGAAAAGAAGAGAGAGAAAGCAGAGCGGGTGCTTAGAGAACTGCAAGATGAATGTCATGGAGCATTTAAACATACAGATAATAGGAATTCCTGAAGGAGAAGAAGATTGTTCCAAAGGTGTGGATGCCCTAATGGAGACTATCATAAATGAAAATTTCTGTATTTACCTGGCAGGGGAGATAAACATGATCGTGAAGGTGGTTTTCCGAGGGCAAGGCTTATCCATTGTACTCTGGATGTGCTGACCCCTGCAATTTCCCCAGATGTGGGAAACTCAGCTACATAATTTGTGATAGTGGGGGACTGCGTTCACGCCTTTCCCTGAAGAGAAAAAAAATGAAAATTTCCCAAGTTTTACTAAGCATCCTGATATACTCCTTTCAGATGGATATTGAAACCCAAGCCATCTCACCTCTAACAGAGCCTCTCCAAGGCACATAATAATGAACCTGTCCAAAGTCAAGATGAAAGAGGAAATTCTACAAGCATCTAGGAATATGCACCGATTAACCTATAAGGGTAGCGCCATTAGGATGACAGTAGATTTTCTTTTTTTTAATTAAATATTAGCTGTGTAAATTAATGCAATCATGGGGTACAGTGTGGTGTTTTCATATACAATTTGAAATATTTTTATCAAACTGGTTAATGTAGCCTTTATGTCATTTTCTTAGTTATTGTGTTAAGGCGTTTATATTCTACTTTTAGAAAGAGTCACTTGTACCCTTGAAAGATAAACCATAGAGGTGATCCCTCCAATCACCCTTCCTCCACCCATCCACACCCCCCATATTCTTAGGTTATAGTTAGGTTATAAGTTAGTTTCGTAATAGGGCTGTGCACATTGGATACTTTTTCTTCCATTCTTGTGATACTTTGTTAAGAAGAACATTTTCCAGCTCTATCCATGTAAACATGAAGGAAGTAAAGTCTCCATCTTTCTTTATGGCTGCATATGTGTACATATACCATAGTGTACATATATGTACATATTCTATGGTGTACATATACCACAGTTTATTGATCCATTCGTGGATCAGTGGGTACTTGGGCTTCTTCCATGACCTGGCAATTATGAATTGGGCTGCAATAAACATTCTGATACAAATATTTTTGTTGTAATGTGGTTTGTAGTCTTCTGGATATATACCTAATAAAGGAATTGCAGGATCAAATGGCAGGTCTATTTTTAGTTTTCTAAGTGTTCTCCAGATGTCTTTCCAAAAGAAATGTATTAGTTTGCATTCCCACCAGCAGTGTAGACGTGTTTGCTTTTCTCCACATCCACGCCAACATCTCTGGTTTTGGGATATGGGCTAATCTTACTGGAGTTACATGATAGCTTAAAGTAATTTTGATTTGCATTTCTCTGATGATTAAGGGTGATGAGCATTTTTTCATGTGTGTGTAGGCCATGCACTTGTCTTCTTCAGGTTTTTTTTCAAATCCCTTGCCCACCCCCCAATGGGATCTCTTGTTCTTTTCTTGCTAATATGTTTGAGTTCTCTGTGGATTCTGGTTATTAAACCTTTATCAGAGACATAACCTGCAAATATCTTCTCCCATTTTGAGGGCTGTCTGCTTGCTTTACTTATGTGTTCTTGGTTGTGCAGAAGCTTTTTAGTTTGATCAGGTCCCAGTAGTGTATTTTTGATGTTGCTTCAGTTGCCCAGGGGGTCCTCATAAAATGTTTGCCCAGGCCGATTTCTTCAAGTGTTTTCCCTACACTTTCTTCTAGTATTTTTATGGGTTTGTGTCTCAAGTTTAAATCTTTAACCCAGTGAGAGTCTATCTTAGTTAAAGGTGAAAGGTGTGACCAGTTTCAGTCTTCTACAGGTTGCCAGCCAGTTTGCCCAGCACCATTTGTTAACAGCAGTCAAGCTGAAAAAACAGTCAAGGACTGTATTCCGTTCACAGTGGCGCCAAAGAAGATGAAATATTTGGGAGTTTACCTAACAAAGGATGTGAAAGATCTCTATGAAGAGAACTGTGAAACTCTAAGAAAAGAAATAGCTGAAAATGTTAACAAATGGAAAAATATACCATGCTCGTGGCTGGGAAGAATCAACATTGTTAGAATGTCCATACTACCCAAAGCAATATATGATTTTAATGCAATTCCCATTAAAGCCCCACTGTCATACTTTAAAGATCTTGAAAAAATAATACTTCATTTTATATGGAATCAGAGAAATCCTCAAATAGCCAAGACATTACTCAGGAATAAAAACAAAGCAGGAGGAATCATGCTACCAAACCTCAGATTATACTATAAATCCATAGTGATTAAAACAGCATGGTACTGGCACAAAAATAAGAGGTAGATGTTTGGAACAGAATAGAGAGCCAACAGATGAATCCAGCTATTTACCGTTACCTGATCTTTGACAAGACAGTAGATTTTTCAACCAAAACTTTCCAAGCTGAAGAGCATGGTCATCCAACTTCAACATCCTTAAAGCAAAATAATTTTTAGCCCAGAATCCTGTATCCTGCTAAACTTAGCTTCAAAATTGATGGAGAAATCAAATCTTTTGCAGATGTACAAGCACTGAGGAAATTCATCATAACTAGACCAGCTCTACAGGAAATATTTAGACCGAGTCTCAATTCTGAACACCGCAATGGACCAGCATGAAATTAAACACCTAGAAGCCAAAGACCAGAGCTTAGCTTTCAAAGTGGCACAAAGGACAAAATCACAGAACAAATTATCTCATAATAATATGAGTAGAATTCCACCACACTTATCAGTACTCTCAATAAATGTTAATGGACAGAATTCCTCACTAAAGAGAGACAGGGTGGCTGAGTGTATAAAAAAGACACAAGCCATTCATATGCTGTCTCCAGGAGACACACTTTGACCCGAAAGACAAATCAAAACTCAGGGTGAAGGTATGGAAACCAGTGTTTCAAGCAAATGGAAATCAGAAGAAAGGAGGGGTTGCAGTCTTATTCTCAGATACAAGCTGATTCAAAGCAACTTTAGTCAAGAAAGACAAAGATGTACACTTCATCCTGGTCAAAGGAACAATACAATAAGAAGATATCTCAATTTTAAACATTTATGTGCCTAACTTAAATGCTTCCTGATGTGGGAAACAGACTTTGAGTGGTCTGAGCAATACAATATCCTCTAACATCTTAATAGTCTGGGACTTCAACACCCTTCTGGCAGAACTGGACAGATCCTCTAAACAGAAATTAAACAGGATATAAAGGACTTAAATGTGACCTTAGAACAAATGGGATTAATAGATGTATATGGAATACATCATTCCAAAACAAAATAATATACTTTTTACTCATCAGCTCATGGCACATACTCAAAAATACATCATATCCTAGGATATAATTCAAACCTCAGCAAAATTAAAGGAATAGAAATTATTCCATGTCTCTAGGCAATAATGGTGACACTCAACTCCAACAATAATATTCATTCCCATGTAAAGTCTTGGAAACTGAATAACAATGTGCTGAATGATAGTTGGTTCAGGAGGAAATAAAAGAGGAGTTTGTTAATTTCCTCAAAATAACAACAGTGAAGACACAAGTTACCAAAACCTGTGAGATACAGCAAAAGCAGTCCAGAGAGGAAAATTTATAGCACTGGAAGCCTACCTTTGAAAAATAGCACATCAGCACACTCACAAATCATCTTAGAGAATTGGAAAAAGAAGATCAACCTAACCCTAAAACCAGCAGAAGAAAGGAAGTCCCCAAATTAAATCAGAGATTAATGAAATTGAAAACAAAAAAAATCATTCAAAAAAAATTCATGAAACAAAAAGTTGGTTTTTTTAAAAAAGTAAATAGATAAACCTTTGGTCAGACTAACTGGAAACAGAAAAGTAAAGCTCTAGTAACTTCAATCAGGAATGACAAAGGGGAAATAACAGATGCTACAGAGATACAAGAGATTATCTCTGAATACTATAAGAAACTCTACACCCAGAAATTTGACAATGTAGAAGAAATTGGTCAATATTTGGAATCACATCCTCACCTTAGTCTTAATCAAGAAGAAATAGATCTTCTGAACAGATCAATTTCAAGTACTGAGATGAAAGAAACAATAAAAAACTTCCCAACAAAAAAATGCCCTGGCCTGATGGCTTTACTCCAGAATTCTATCAAACCTTCAAAGAAGAGCTTGTTCCCATACTGCAGAAAGTATTCCAAAAAATTGAGGAGCATGGAATCTTACCCAACATGTTCTATGAAGCAAATATCACCCCGATACCAAAACCAGGAAAAGATCCAACTAAAAAGGAGAACTACAGACCAATTTCCCTAATGAATATAGATGCAAAAGTACTCAACAAAATCCTAGCCAATAGATTACAGCTTATTAAAAAAGTCATACGCCATGATAAGTAGGTTTCATCCCAGGGATGCAAGGCTGGCTTAACACATGCAAATCCAAAAAAGTAATTCATCATATCAACAGAAGCAAAAACAAGGACCCAATGATCCTTTCAATAGGTGCAGAAAAAGCATTTGATAAAATTCTACATCCCTTTCTAATTAGAACTCTGAAGAATATAGGCATTGGTGGCACGTTTCTTAAACTGATTGATGCCCTATATGACAAATCCACAGCTAATATTTTATTGAATGGAGTAAAACTGAAAGCTTTTCCACTTAGAACTGGAACAAGACAAGGTTGTCTTCCATTGCCACTACTATTCAACATAGTGCTGGAAGTTCTAGCCAATACAGTCAGGCAAGAGAAAGAAATAAAGGGCATCCAAATGGGAGCAAGCAGAGGAAGTGAAACTATCCCTCTTAGCTGATGTTTAGATCTTATGCTTAGAGACCCCCAAAGACTCAACCACCAGACTCCTGGAAGTGATCAAAAAATACAGTAATGTCTCAGGATATAAAATCAGTGTCCACAAATCAGTAGCCTTTGTATTTGCCAATAACAACCAAGATGAGAAGGTAATCAAGGGCACAATTCCCTTCTCAGTAGCGTCAAAGAAAATGAAATACCTAGCAACATACCTCACAAAAGAGGTGAAGGACCTCTATAAAGAAAACTACGATCACCTAAGAAATGTCAGAACATGTTAACAAATGGAAGAACATACCATGCTCGTGGCTGGGAAGAATCAACATTGTCAAAATGTCTATGCTTCCCAAAGCAATCTATAGATTCAGTGGTACCCCTATTAAAATACCAACATCATACTTTCAAGACTTGGAAAAAGTAATTCTTTGTTTTGTACGGAATCAGGAAAAAACCCATATAGCCAAGGAGATTCTTAATAATAAAAGCAAAGCCAAGGGCATCAGCCTGCCAGACTTTAGGCTGT